TCATGAGGGTGAGTAATTAATGACAGAATTTTCATTTTTGGGTGAACTAACCCTTTTAATGTAATTACAGTTATTCACCGTATATAGTACAGAAACTTACTGTTAACCAGTTAACAGGTTTTTACTGTAGAATTTTACAGTCTTTAACTGTTAAAATCACGTCCATTTTTACAGTGTAAGGGTATATACAATATAATTAGCTGAGTATAAAAACAATAGTTAATAGGCAGTCTATTCCCTGACAGGAAAACAATTAAATATGCGTGTGGGGGGAGTGATATGATCATTGTGTACATGACTGCAACAGTAAACATCGGAATGACATATGAACAGCAACTGAAGGTCATTAGTGAATGACACAGTCACAATCAAATGTTATATAAACCTAAGCGTGCCACTGTCAGCAGACTCCCACACACAGGAGAACCCATACATGAGCTCTGCAGAGGAAGTGAGACAGCACACACAAGCTAGAGGAAAATGAATGGGGAGAGAGAAATAAAATATGAAGCAGGAAAGGGATTACGGAGTGAAGCTGCTGGAGCATCGGGATAAGCAGTGTTATAGTCATGTCTGTGAGCTCTGATGTGTTTCCTTCCAGAGATGTAGCACATATATGTGAATGGGAGAAATTTTAACGCTAGAAATTACAACGCTGTAGTATTACCTCACTTAAAAGAGCCAACCGCTGTTTAGATCAAATTTAGAGTTTGTTTTCTCTTGAACACACATGAGATTAGCCTGACCAGATCATAGTTTTTGTGTGATTTGTGCCAAAGCTATAAGAGCTGTATTTGCTTGACTAGGGAATTTGACTAGGGAATGCATTCCCTGGGAACTCGAACCATGACTTTGGCATTGCCCTTCTGGACTGCTTGAGCTACAGGATGTAATAATATACCTGATAAAGACGATAGATTTTCTGAAGAAAGACTTGGCATGATGTGTCTTAAGCCATAATTTTTTTGATTGAACCCAAGTTTGCATTGAATTGAACATGAATGAGATTTGAGCGCTGCGGAGGCCAAGATTTTCTTAAATATTTGACTGTTCATCACACAAAGCTATCGCCTCTTGAAATGTAGAATCCTATGGCCTGCTTTTATTGTGCTTTTCTGTCATTTCTGGACTTTGATAGTGCAAATCACTTTTTTTTTTCTTTGGAAATTCTTCTATTATGTTTCATGCACAAGAAAATCATGGGTTTCCTTTCCTCTTGTCCTCCTCCTGTTCATTCAACTAAGTACATTTATATTTTACATTGATGCATTTGACTATCGAAAGTGACTTGCATTAAATTGAACCCATCTTGCTAGCATCATGATCTATCAGTTAGGCTCAAGATATTATTGATGGGAGTGTGTGTGGAACAGATGCTGAGTTTGACACTCTGCTGACATCAATTCCCACCTATGACTGAGAGTCTATTTTAAGTGTGTGTGTTTATCCCGTGTGTTGCCGTCTTATGGCTCTGACCCATTTAACACTGCATTACCAGTCATCGCAGAATAGCTGTGCTGACATCACAGACATTTCCTGTTACACTTTTGTCTTCATCTTTCTAGACCTTAGATATATACACAATACATTTTAATACAAGTTTAAATATGCATTGTTTAACTAAATAGTTGATAATGATAATTGTGAATTTCCTTTTTCCTTTTTATTTGTATTTATTTTATTTTATTTTATGTATTTATTTATTTATTTTTGGAGGGGGATTATGACTTTGATAAGTGACCTACAAAAAGGTTTACATTACATTTTGAATATTAGATTCAATGTGTTGTCAGACTTTTGAACCTCACTTTATATATAATAGTTTTCTGATGTGATTTATAGACATGATTGATTCATGGCAGCATGTGTGTGTCTGTTGCAGTGTCATAGTTCTATGTCCGTTAGGGTTAAGTAATGAGATTAAGAGATGAAAAGTTAATCGCCTTCTCTCTGGCAGCACACACCGAAAACACACAAAACCCACACATGAAAATACCGATTCAACCATATAAATTGGACATATTTCAGTTTAAGCTGTATTATGTGAAAATGGACTACATTTAAGCTGAATGCTAAGTTTCAGAGTTGAAATGTTTATCAGAACTGCACATTGTTTAGTGCAAGGAAGCTCAATTGTCTGGGACACAAAGAAAATACAAAGATTTATCTGAGGCCTGGGTTTTGAAAACTACTCTTCACAATATCCATAACATATGACTGGGAATAAGTGTTACATAACAGTTCCTAATGAATACACATCAGAGCTGAGGATTCCTTTTCCTGCATTATTTACTCTCGATGTCCCAGCCTTAACAGCAGACTGCTCTAAATTAGCTATTCTCTTTACTATTATTTATATCCCATGTTTTCTGTCTCGTATTTCCCTTTCCTCCCTCCACACAGTAGACATCATGTTTTGTTAGGTTTCCAGAAAGAAACTAGAACAGGCGATACAAATAATTTATAGTTTTTGCCAAAATTGTTTGATGCGTAGTTTAAAACGATCACAAACACATTTTGTTTTACATAAAATAAGACCAACCAAATGTCAGTAGAATTTGTTTTGTTTTGTACGACCCATGTATTATCATCTTGTAAATGTTGTAGTGTGCATGAATTTCACTGTGGAGTGTAACAGTGCCCACCCCCTTTTTCAGCAGGGTTGGATCCAGACAGTTTTTTTTTTTTTTTTCATTATTTGACCCATAGGGATTTTTAAAAAGTCTTTGTTAAAAGCCACGAACCAAGCCAACCAGCCACAAGGTTAATCATAACATTACAAACTTCAGTTTGAAGCAAAAAAAATATTAGAAAGTTGTACAAAAATAAAAAGATACAAGACTGTGTACATCATAGCTTTTTTGAGTGAAAGGACTGCGATCCCATGAAGCATTATATATATATATATATATAAGTAATATACATAATTTGTTTTGCATTATTTGTGCTGCAGACATTGTTGATGAGAAGTGTACAA